TTGGCCTGTTTCCTCTGTCTCGAGCAGCACGATGACTGACAGGATGAGAGCTGCCAGTCAGACCGGCCAGATGATGCTCACAGCATATTGTGAAAAAAATGACTGACAAGGGTTGAAATATGTGGGCACTGGAATCATGAGTGCATGTAAACATATACAGAGACCAATGCTGTTTAATCAGGTTTGGGGAGTAACTGATTACATGTAATGGAGTTATGTAACCAGGATACAAAAAAAGAGATGTAATCCATTGTTTTCACAGCTGGAAGGAAGACAAGGAAACACTACACAATCAACAAGTTTTGAGTTTCAGCTGTGGAAATGTTCTATAGGTTACTGCCTGAATTTGCTTCATGAAAAGAAAATTTCCTTAAAAACACACTGAAATGACACATTTAATCTGCTTAAAATCTCAAGTTTCCTCATTTTCTTTAATGATGTTGTTCTGTTGCACTTTCATATTTTGCAGCTCCGCAGTACAACCACAGTCTGATCTGCTGGCGACAGTGCAGCTCCCCAGTTGTTGTTTATTTACCTCAGCCAAGTGGTGGTAATAAGGAAGGTTTGAGCACTGCTCTCTCATTTTCCCCAAGCACGTCTGAGGATACGGGTGGAAAATAGCAATTTGCTAAAACCTGGTGCAATGCATCTCTGCAAAAGAAATAACAATAACGGGCACAAGCCCCCTTCCAGCCTTACCTGATAATGGTGCTACATGGGAATTCTGGGGATCACCAAAAACATCCAACACATGTTGTTGTTGTTTCACTTCAAACCACAAATGTGAACCTCATGGTGGCGCTACATGAGAAGACAGAGGATCACTGAGGCCATTAAAATCATACCTCAACTCAGAAATATGTTTTTTGTTCCTACAGTTGGATGTTTGACCTTCACTGTGCAGAATGATGTATGTGCAGAGTTTGACACTAGAAGGATGTTTTCACGTTCATCTGCTGAAAGTGGAAAGTTTCTCTGACTCATTGAAAATTAGATTTTAAGGGGCGGGACCTTATGATGATTTGTGACATCCCAAATAGTTTGGAGGTCAACCCTGGTCCAGTATAAAAACGTATACAAGTGTGATGTAGAAACTTGAAGCCTCCAGTGCTCAAACACGTGAGAATGGACTTTATAGAGAAGTATGAGACAACTTCAGAAATGAACAAAATTAGCATATTCATAGATTCTGTCATTCTTAATGAGGTCGAAGGAGTAGATTACTTTTTATGGATATAAATGTGGAAATCCTTTTGTTTGCAGACTGTATATAATGAATGTCTTAAAGGTCCAGAGTGTAACATTCAGGAGGATCTATTGGCAGAGATATTATATTCATAGGTATGTTTTCATTAATTCATTATCACCTGAATATAGGAATCGTTGTGTTTTTGTAACCTTAGAATAAACAGTTTTTATCTACAGACGCTGTGTGTCGCCTTGTATGGAGACTGCCATGTTGAACCGCCATGTTTCTACATGTTGCTAGTTGCCACTGAATCCTACATACTGGTGCTTTAATACATGTCTTGTATTATATATTATATATATACTGTATATTTTTAATATTCATTGTCTGGGTACAAAGAATATCTGTACAAAATGTCACTGCAATCTATTGAAGTTGAGATATTTCAGTCTGGATTAAAGTGGGGGACCAACAGATCAACAGACCAAGAACTATGATCACTATAAAGGTTAAAGTCCTGACAGTCAAATGTGGAAGTAAGCTACTGTAATGTGAACAAGAAAAAATATTATTCAATTAGGTAACATCAAATTCATTTAGTCAATCCCAAACAGCATTTAAATTGGACCTTTTCTTTCTTAGGTTAGAAAATAACATTAAAATTGGCATCTATTGGCAGCTGTGTGTGTGTGTGTGTGTGTGTGTGTGTGTGTGTGTGTGTGTGTGTGTGTGTGTGTGTGTGTGTGTGTTTTAAGACATTGTGCATCTTTGCAACCTGAGAGTAAAGAAATCATCAGATATATAAATATAAAAAAAAACTAATTCTGACCCATCTAAGGCAAGAAAACACCCAGATTGTTTTATAACATTTCTGCTGGTATGTCCCCCATGACTCCACTTTGCTAATAGTTTACTTCATGTCTGAAATAAAGCTGGCTCCACACAAAGACACCCATTGATGACACAGAGTCGCACTGCTGCAAAATCTCCCCCGAGAGCAACGTCTCTCATTCAAATACCAGAATTTGTCAGAGGGAGAGAACATATATCTGAACCACCAGGCCTCAGAGGTAAGAAAATATATGTAGTGTTAAATAATAAAATGACACTCACTGATAACTTTTAGAAATTTTTTTATGAGGAAAAAAATTATTTGCCTAAACTGGTGTATTTTCAGCAGTTATCTCTGCTTATATCTTGTTTTCATGCCTTGCTTGTTGCCTTATCTACACATACTTAATGTTCTTAATCTACTTTTTATGTTTTGGTTGATTTGCAGGTGACAAAGGGCCCGTCTCTACCATGAAGTTTTCTTTGGTTCTGGTTTTTGCATTCATCCTCCCGCTCATCAGGGCTCAGGTGCCCCACTGGGGACCTTGTCCAGAACCAGCGGTTCAACCGTCCTTCACCCTTAAACAGGTACAAGCTACTTTGTACAGAATAAACTAGGTTTTTACTCCAGAAAACAGCCGCTAATAATTAAGTTACTAATCTTAACATTGTTTAATGATCATCTAAGAGTAAGGTAAACCATATAGCCTTTATAACTAGCATATAATCATGTAATAAATGTTTATTTTTTACACACTATAATGAAGTTGTAATCTATTTTTCAACAAGTAAAACTCCTTTTGTGGGCACCCATAAGTGAAGGCTGCTGTATAAACATATATATATAGAGAAGTCAGGTATACATTAATAAACACATAAAATGCCCTTATATCTGCTTATTCCTACATTATAGCGTTAAACTATTGCTCATACATTGGAAGTGTTAAGGTAAAGTGTTACTGGATTATTATTACTGATGCATTAATGTTCAAGTAGCATTTTACTGTCCGGGTGGTGTTAGATGTACTCTATATAGGCTACTCTATATACAAATGAACCTGCAAAGTACAAAGCTGTTGAATAAATGCAGTGGAGTGGAGTGTAAAATATTAAATGTAAGTAAATGGACTTTTAGGTTTGACAGGACACCTGCGGTACATTGTACTGAATCCACTAGAGCATGTAGATTTATTCATACCCTCTACTGACTGGTGTTCAGAATTGTCTTTGAACTCATGTGCATTTTTTTTTGCCCTTTCAGTTCATGGGGAGATGGTTTGAAATTGCCAAACTGCCGGCCCAGTTTGAGAAGGGACGCTGCATCGAAACCAATTTCACTCTGAAGACGGACAACTCCATTCGAGTGGTCAGCTCTGAAATACTGTGAGTCCTATCTGCAATTTCTTTGTGCAAATTACCGAGTGTGGAGGTAATATTTGCATGGTTTGTATTCCCCCTTTAATCCAACATGAAATTTAACTGTCTGGAATAAAACAGAAAAGGAGAGCTGAGGAAAATCGAAGGGACTGGAGTCATAGAGGATATGAAGAATCCCGCCAAACTGGGAATAAGTTATTCCTACGGTGAGCAAGACATTTGAGTCATTTTTGGGATTTTTTGGTGTTTAGGGAGTCAGTTAATAACTCCTATTAGACTTTTTCCTCCTTTGTCAGATCAAGAAAAACATTGTAGGTGATCTTTTTTTGTGCTCTTTAACCCCACAGTCCTGCCCTACTCCCCATACTGGATCCTGTCCACCGACTACGTGAACACGGCCCTGGTTTACTCCTGCACAGACGTCCTAAGGCTCTTCCACGTCGACTTCGCCTGGATCCTGGCCCGCACACGAACCCTGCCGGACTCCACCGTCGAGAAAGCCAAGGAGATCTTCGCCAACAACAACATCGATGTCAGCAGGATGATTGCCAGCAGGCAACAAGGCTGCGACAAAACTCTCTGAGCAGCAACAGAAGAACAGCACCAGATAGGGCTGTTGTTGGCAGGAGGGAGAAGATGATTCATCCTCTGTTCCAGAAAGATTTTGACTAATATTTGATTGTGTCCAGGAGGGTAGACTCAACTCATTTACTCAGATTGTTTATGTGTGGAACAGAGTTTTCCTTCCGTTTAATGAGAATAAATATATATATTGTTCATTAAGTAATTGTATGTGAGGGTGTTTTGAGTATAGCAGAAGTGAATGAAGTCATAGTTTACACATGTTTTTATTTAACACATCCTCACTGCTTGTAATATTACGAGACAGACATTTCTGCACAGTTAAAGCTGTTCATTTTTGTCTTAATGATCAATGTTTGCTGTTTCATGGGCAGTATAAAACAGAAAAAAATCTGATATTACGTAAATCTGATGTTTATACCACAAACTGGTGACATAAAGCATCTAATCAGAGTCAATAAAAGTCAATGAAACTTACTTCATGTGATCGTCTGCCTCTTTTTGATGAAAACATTCTGTCTACAGGCCCTGGGATGCACACATATACCGTATATAGAGTCGAAAAGATCCCACCACTATTTAATGTATTAAAACTGCTAATATGTTTACAACTTGATATAAGTCTATTCATTTCATATAATACTTTTAAAGTGACAAATTACCCTTAAATAGCTTTAGAGGTAAAGTTTGTCAGTAATGTTCAGTATGCAAGACCTATCAGTCGTAGTGTAATGTATGAAACTTATATGGGAGAGTCATAATTATGTATGACAGACATAAACTTTTAAAAAATAAAAAGTTTTAAAGGTTCATAAAGTATATTCATTGTCACATTATATTGGCATATTCTATTTATTGTACAGCTCAAATCCTCCTTGGAGAAGGAAAAGATCAAAATAAATCCTAAATTAGCACAACGTTGAACATTAATATTAATGTGTTTAATATGAATGACGGCAGGATTTCAACCAGCAGCATGAATTCTTACCTCAGCGGAACCTTTGAGAGCTGGACTCCAATTACACGTCGGACTTATTTTCACCGGGCGCCGCGGTAGCTCTGCAGCGTTCATCCTCTTTAACAAACAAACAACTGAATGATCTTCTGTCGGTGAAACCTCGTGGTTCCGTTCATCAATGCCACTAAAGGATCAGTCCAACTCCACCGCCATGAAACCTGCGGTGGACGAGATGTTTCCGGAGGGTGCGGGACCGTACGTTGATCTGGACGAGGTCGGTTAGCTTTGTTGCTGTAGCAACATCCGTTATTAATGATTAACTTTATACTGAAAGTTATTGATTATTACATTAACTCTGATGTTGTTTTACCACTTGTTTCTCTTTTTCTGGCTCTTGGCATCGTTGACTTTATATAATAATAATAATATAAATAATAATAATAATAAATAAATAAATAAATAAATAATAATATAAATAATAATAATAATAAAAATAATAAAAATAATATAAATGATAATAATAATAATAATATAAATGAACTCAGCACTAAAATAAAAGTCGAATAAAAACCAGCAATAAAGCTGATAAAATATATTATCGCACTGGAGCAAATAAACAGTTAATAATATACAAATTAAAGAGTAAAATACCCATTAGCTAATATATGATTAAAAACCATAATAGCAATAAAATACGAGGCATTAAGCAGCGTGCTAGAATAAATAAAAGGCATTTTTAAAAGGTATTTGTTTTACGAAAGTTAATTAGTAACGTTTATTTAGATACTAAGTAAGTATAGCTGCAGAAAAAATATGTGATATGATTCACGATTAGTGTGGCAACGATTCTTTTTTTCATCACAAATTTAATTTTCACTGTAAAATCTGTTAAAATGATGTGAAATTGTTTGTGGTCTGAACCAAACAAACATGTTTTTGTGAATCTGATGAACAAGATCTATTGACCAGCTCATCTCTGCAGCACTACAGTAGTTCATTATGTTGGTTTTATGAGCTTTTATCAAAACATTACAGCTCTTGTGATTTGCATGTTGCACCTGGTCGTCTTGCAATTTTGATAATATTTTGATTAATTGTGCAGCCCGACTTATAAATCAATGTAAGTGAGCGACATACTGTCTGTAAGTTGGTATTATGTGAACCAACCCAGACAATAGACGGTCACAATCTTCTTGAATCTGATATTAGTTCATTTTAAAAAGTAGCAGTCCAACAATTCTCAAATATTAATGAGCAGCATCATTAAATGAATAAATAAAGTAAACAAAAACCTGTCTTTTGCATTGAGAAGCTGTCTGCTGATTGGGATGAATACAGGAGGACGTGCTTGTTCAGAAAATATGGTTTAGCATTTTCTACATTGTAGACCATCACAAATACCGTGCAGATTTATCTTTGAGCTCAACTGAATTGTTGACATGTTTATCCGAACAGCTTGTTCGTAACGTGCTTGTTTTCCTGTCCAGCCACTGAGCTGCTGACAGTCTTGTGTTAAATTTGTGTCTCTGAGCTGCATGTTTGTTCTCTGGCAGGCTGGGGGAAGCACAGGACTGCTGATGGACCTGGCTGCCAATGAAAAGGCCGTTCACTTGGACTTCTTCAATGGTAAAGATGTCTTCATAAACATAGCCACGTCTTACCTTTGCGCCTGTTTCCCCCGAGATTCTCAACAGCAAAACTCCAGACATTGTAAACACAGCAGGCCTCGCTATCCGATGATCTATTTAAAAGAAACTATACCACTTTTTAATAGGACTGAGTTACTGTTTACTAACTTGAGTCCATTTCAGCAAAGATTAAGTTAGAATCCAGTCAGGTTTCACATCAGTTTATACATTTATTTGTTATTTTATGTAAAATAAAAGTAAAAGAATATTTCCACAAGCCAGTTATTTAAAGTATTGTGAGCTAAATGCCCCAAAAGACTACACTAACTAAATAATGTGTAAACAGAGCAACATTTGGAGCTGGCAACTGGGTGCGTATCGAGTATTTCAACAATACCCTTATTTGCCTGGAGATGAAACAGCTTGTTACTCCAGTTATTGCGTTCATCTGGGAGGAGTTAGGGGCCAGAAGTTGCAGAAGTTAATGCTAATGCTGTTGTCACTCATTTCCTCGCTCTGACTTGAAATTCCAGTCACTGCTTTAGTCCAATAAGTAGCAAGGTTGGGGCCATTGGTTATTTTATAGCACCGTTGGATGTTCTGGATACTAGAATTACTCTGTCAAGTTGTCTTGTTCTGCAAAATTAGTGTTCTTACAAACTTTAGACTCCAGGCTGCTCAGCAGATTGTATACAATAGAGTCTGAGATTTTCCTTTTGGATGGAAAACACCTCTCAGGAAGTGTCTTGAAGGTATTTGATTGGAGGGAGAGATGTGTGTCTCAACACGCAGTCTCTGACGTTTGTATTGACACAATTAATCTTTTCACCTCTAGGTAGAACCTCACAACACATTTGTGCTGTAATGATCCTCTTAAAGGATTTCACAAGTCAGTCCCTCTCCAACCAATCCTTGTGAATTCTGCACAACCTCGAAATGTTTAATCACTGCAACTTTCCTTTGCAAAACATCCCCACGCTCATTTTTTTCTTAAATTTTTTCTCCTGGAACCACCTTTGATTTTTAATGAAAAATTTAAAAACAAATTTCTTTGCAATTTTCACTTTCTCCTTCAATTTAATTGCAATGAAATGCCTAAAAACACTGCAACGCATTGTAATGTCTTAGAAAAGCTGCTGTGAAATTGTGAACATAAAAGCTACACAGATTTATCTTGGGTCTTTTTCTTCAAGGTAACTTGTCAGTCAGGGGAGATTGAATCGATTAACACACGATGAACTGCAATTTTATTCTCACTGGAACAAGTTGCCTTTGATTTTTAATGAAAAATTTTAAAAAATCTAAACTTTCTTTGCAATTTTCACTTTCTCCTTCAATTTAATTGCAATAAAATGCCTAAAAACACTGCAACGTGCATTGTAATGTCTTAGAAAAGCTGCTGTGAAATTTGTGGCCGTTTTAGGCCGCAAACAAGCTGATGAAATCCAGGAGGGACTGACAGCAGATGTATCAGTGCAAATTAATTTTCCTACTCAGATAATCTGAAGAGAACTGAGGAGGATTCAGTCCTCTTCAAATAGGAAATTGTCAGTCAGGGCAGATTGAATCAATTAACACACGATGTTACTACACCCCTGGGCGTCAGAGTGCTGCTGGTTCCACAGCAGGAAATCTCTTTACTGGCCCCAAAACATTCCTCGTACGCCCGCCCCCCCTTTTTACAAACTGTGTTTTATAATGTAGTGTGATCTTTGTCCCGAGGCGCAGCAACATCAAACGGCCGTGACTTCTCACCATGTGCGACACAGAGTCGTGTCAGCGGGAGCTCTGTGGATGTGCTTTGTACGAGGCTCATTTAGGCTGGAAGGCTTTATTCCCTCCCAATAGAGATGTGTACCACTTAACTGTCTCTAGGCCTATTGAATGCAGCTCTCAATCCCCCTGGCCTACATTTTAAAGGGATTTTAATGTGCGTTCATTTAAACAATCAGTGACACACTGGCTCAATTCTTTCACAGCAACAGAAGTGAAACTGCAGTGAAAGAGCGTGCTAATTTATTTCACACCGCTCAAGAACATTCAGGCTACAGCGGCTCTGTGGAAAATGAACTTTAGCGTGTTTTAATTGTTTAGGTCTAATGTTTTACAAAGCCTTTTATTTACCAGTCTGATATTAAACTTTAAATAACACACGCATTAATCTCTTTAGATGTCCACATACTTCTGTGAACCTTTTGATCTGGTGGTTGGGTCCCTTAGCTTCCAATTAAAGGAAATCTAAATGCTACAATGCATGCAGGGATATCTTAGACAATAGAGTGCTTCCAACTTTGTGGTTTCAGCAGGAAAACGTGCACAAAGTCAGATACATAAAGAATTTGTTTTCTGAGTTTGGTGTGGAAGAACTTGACAGGTCCAACACCTTTTGAGATGAATTGTGACACCAATTGTATCAGATGGTAGAATTTAAGGGATCCTTATGGAAAAATAGAGGCTAAAATATTAAAAACCTAGATTCTGATATTGGTACCAATCTCCTAAATAAAGCTGTTACAGCAGCATATTATTTCTGAGGGTTTTGGGATGAGATGTTCAACAATCACGTTTGGGCGTCCACATATTTTTGGCCATATGAGCAGCCGTTAGAACAGGACAGAAGGAATTTTGTCGCCTGAGTGTACCTGTCTTTCATTGTAGGTAATGTGTTTTGTTATTCGTGAAGGCTTTAATTACATCCAACATGTTGTTTTTCTGTCGTGTTGCTGTCTGATTTCTATGTTCTGTGTGTTTGATGACTCCTTTTTAAACAGCAGTCTGTGCACGAGGAGGACTGCATAACAAGCTCCTGTGTGCAGTCTGCTCCCAGTGTACTGTATGTAGGCTGAATACAGACAATAGCAAGAGAGCAAACTTTATTTATAAAGCAGAATAGAACACTAGTTAAAGTTTAAAAATGTAGGATGATCACTCAAAATGTCTTTTCACTGAACCTTCAGCAACAGACTATTTACATACATATGTTTTAGGTTCTGCCTTCCTCTGTGTGCATGTGTGATTATATTATATACTTACATGTAAATATCTGAGGTCTAAAAGAGTTAAAGAGATTTGCTATAAAGAAAACAAGTAGAGACTCTTCTAGCCTCTCAGTTGTGAAGGTTTTTTGATGGTTTCTGCCTTTTAATAGATCAGTTCATTGAAAAAAAGTGCAGATTAATTGACACTGAAAATAATCATCAGTTGCAGACAAACACTTTGGAAAAAAATGGTTACACTCTGCTCAGAAAAAACAACAAGAGCTACCCGATCAGTTACCAGGGGAGAGTGCAGTATTCCTAAACGTAGGACTTCATTTGGTAAATCATCTTTTTCTTTTGTTGCCACAAATCAATGGAACACACTTCCAACAGAGCTGATTACATGTGCGGATTTTAAAACATTTTCATGTCACACAAAACGTTGGATGCTGTCACAGCAAACTTGTAGACATTTGTTGAATTTAGTAACTGTTTTTAATTTATGTTCCATCTACCTGCTCAGGGACTATGGGTGGAAAATAGCAACTTGCTAAAACCCGGTGCAATGCATCTCTCCTTGTTATATGCAGGGTTAATGTTTTATTGTGCACTGTCCCTGCTCAAATAAAAGAAATAATAAAACTTACAGCAACTAAGTTAATCTGTCGATTTATTTCCTTGATTAATTTATTCCTTTTTGTACCTAAAATAAAGCAGAAAATAGTGAAAATTGCTGGTAAAACCTTCCCACAGATCAAAGTGATAATATAAGCTAAGATGTTTCTTTATTGATCCCCGTGGGAGAAATTCAAGTTCGACACAGCAGCACAGTGTAAAAATACAATAAAGAATAAAAATACTATAAAGATATAATAGAAAATATAAAGACTATAATGAAAATATATACACTATATGCAGTATGCAGTAAGGAATAAGGCGTGCAACACTGTTTTAAACAGTGTATAACTGACTGTACCCAATGTAGAGAATCTGATGTTTTCACATTTTATTTGACCAACAGTTAAAAAGATACTCTGTTCACTATCATTCATGTTGAAGATAAGCATCAAATTCTCTCATTTGTGCAGCTGAAACCAGCAAATATTTGGCTGGTTGGCAATTCATTTTCATATCTAAAGAGGCAGTGTCAATGAACTGCAGCTGCAAACAGTACAAACTGACACATATATCCCCCGATAGAGCAGGGAGTGGCTTTATAGGAGGTATTATCTAATATATACTGAATGTTTTAACATTCACTAAAGAAAATGAAAGCTTATTTTTCTTTAAGCTACCTGCAGAACCAGAGGATGTGGCACATGTTCTTATGCATGTTCATACAGTTCTCCTGCTGACCTCTGACCCCACAAACTATCAGACCCACAGGAAAGGTACTCAGCAGATCCTTTTACTTTTATCACCCTGCACCCCTCCAACCTCCGCTGCTTTATGAGAAAGTGTCTGGCTTGCAGAAACCTTTTTGAAATGCAGCCAGTTTCATTGTCCAGCTGTTATGTAACTTTGGTGTAATTGTTTGTTTGTTTTTTTGTTTTCCTTTCCACAGATTTTGAGGATTTGTTTGACGATGATGACATCCAGTGACAGAGAAGTCTTCGGAGTAATGATGGATGATATTCACATCAGTCTGCACCTTTTTTTCTTTGTTTTTTGGTGGAAAGCAAACCAACCATTTACTGTCTAATGACATACAATTTCCTTTCATAGTTATCCTAGTTTCAGGCTGTTTAAAACATCCTTAAAAAAGTCTTCACGGGTTCCAGATGTTGGGAAATTCTTAACATCCCAAGGATTCCTTTATATACGGTATGTTAGAATTATGAGCCTGCATCGCGCTCGCGTCTTCGACTGCTTCTAAACTGGATTGCAGGTTTCAGTGTGCCGGAGAACACCTGTTAGGAGTGTAATTATACATATGATGGGCAGAGGCTCCATATGCTGTCGCCCTTAAACATGCTGCAGATGGCATATGATAAATGATGGTCTGCTAAGATGTCTTGAATTGTTTGTATGTCAGTGTGCGATAGCCACATACGTTCTGTGTGTTTTATATCTGCAGTGAGTCAAGTTACGTCATGGATTTGTACATATGTGTACACATACACATCCACAGTTTTTGTGATTGATTCTATGTGACAAAAATCAATAAATAGTGTTTTGTAGATATAAAAGCAGGAAGTGTGTGTGATTTATTTCCCTTTTAATAATATTTGTTGTTCATAGAGCAATTTCATAAACTAGATAAGTTTCACAAGATTTTCAAGAGGGGAAATTGTGAACATTGCTAACATGTTTTTATTTACCTTGCAAATTACACAAAGTTAGAGCAGTGTGATAATTAAATAATATAACATCTGGTTATATGTGACACTGCGGGTCGTCTTCTATGGAGTCCACCATGTTGAACCGCCATGTTTCTACAGTAGCTCAGGAGGGACAAACTAAACACTGGCTCTAGATAGGATTTCTAGATAGATTTTGCAGCCACTGTAGTTTCTCCTTTGCACTTGGAAGGGGAGGGTGAAGCGAGGGAGTTGCAATCTACAACTACTCCACTAGATTCCACTAAATCCTGCACACTGGACCTTTAAAGCACTGCTATAAAATGGACCTTAACGTTTTTCTTTCTTCAGAAGTCCTTGAAGTGCTTAGAAGTGGAATTTTCCGCTGATGATGATCATGTGTCGTGGAAAATAGAGCTGGAACGATAAATTGATTGATCTACACCTGCTTTGATAATCGATTATTAAAAATACCAAACAATACTCTGTTCCAGCTTCTTAAATGTGAAGATCTTATGCACTGATCGTTGGGTTGTTAAGATATGTTTTTGCTGACATTTGACCAAACAAATGGATTAATAAAAAAAATAAAAGTTAATAAGAGTTTAATTAATAATGAAAATAATTGGTCTTTATTGAAAGTTCCGGCAAAGTTAGTGTTTTCTTTACATGGTGAAATATAGATTTTGAACCTCATCATATAGGAAAATTCTTCATTGTGATATTTATTATTATATTTATACTGGCCCCGCCCTTTACCAAGTAGATAGTTACTATAAGCTTACTGAATTGTCCTTTCATGGCCAAATCTTACAACTACGGGATGAACTGCAGTTTATTGCAGGAAAATAAAGTGCAGAATGTAATAGAGGATCAGCCAGCGGTCAGAGCGAGTGTGATCTACTCCAATACTGCAACCTAATATACAAAATAAGACACGGTAAGTGTTGGAGAAGAGCTTTATGAACAACAAAAAAACCAATACTCACCTCGAATATGAAAGAGCCAGGACAGCTTTTGCAATAAAATGTTGAGTTCTGTGGGCATCTGCAGCTATCAGCCTACAGATAAACAGCACGCAGACAGCTGTGTGTCAAACAAAACAAACAAAAAAAAGCCGCCTTCAAAAATGTGTACAGAATATAAGAAACTGGCGTAGTTTCTGCACTGCGACATATAGCGTTTTTCATTCTCAGGCTGTCAGGAACGTAGATTGTATCGTTTCTGAAACCTAAGAATTTACTGTATAATGAGAGTTTGCCTCAATATCAGCAACAATGAGAATGCTGATCCGAAGGTCAATAATATTTCCAGTTTGGGAAACAGCATATTGGAGTTTTATTACTATTCAGCACAAGTTGGAGACTGATAAGAGGACTTCTGAAGAGCACAAAATGCAAACTGCAGGTTTTTTAACAGCTCGCCTGAACAGAATCAGCAAAACAGAGAATTGTGCCGTCAGCACAGAAATGTCCAACATTTGTGTACAAGACAATGGTATTAATTACACTCACAAACCAGCAGTGCACACAAAGTACTATCTAATTAAACAGTTGAGCCTGATGGAAATGCCCTTTATTTTGTTGTTTATATATTTACATAGATAAAATATAGATATAAAATGTATCCCCAATAGAAGAAGGCAAATTTCATGTCAATACAAACAAGGGTTAATATTTCACTTTGAACCACAAACGTCAACCTCATGGTGGCGACAGAGTTAAAGTCAGAGGATCACAAGAGTCATCGGGATTCATCACCTGGGGACCACGAATGTCTGCACAGAATTTCATGGCTCCAATAGTTGTTGACATGTGGAGCAAAGTGTCGCACCAACCAACATTGGCGTCCATAGAGCACTGCCAAAATACTCCTGCAAAGAAACATTATCTGTCTCTTATTCTGACAGTTCAGTCAATGTTTGTGAACATAATTATTCACCCAAAGCTACAAACCAGAGAATTAATGTAAGTCTTCAGGCTGTGAACACTGGTCTATTTACAATGAATGTAAAATCTGAAATCAGGAAATGTTTTGGACCATTTAAAGCTTTATTTGATGTAAGCCTGAAATGAGTTACTGTGACAACCTGTCAGCATTTTCTTGCATTGAGAAATACTAATAATTTATGTTTTAAAGTTCTTCTTTTCTTTCCCGTCTAACTTGACGACTACTTTTAATGATTAATAGTCACAGACTGATCTGTTGCTGATTTATTTGTATGTGATGTGAAACCTGAACCAAAATTTAAGTGCTAACATAAAAGCATTTGACAGGCATCGTCATTTTTACAAGGGTCTGTGTTTTTAATGAGCTTTTCTTTCACAAGTAGCATGAGACGCTTTAAGGGGTTCTTAGCCCAGTTTTTTTGTTAAACTGCCTTGAATTTTCCATACACAGAATGAGACAGACATCTCTCCTGATGGCTGTTCTGCTTTAAGCTGAAGAAGACAACTATTTGTCTCCTTCTGTGACAGCCCCGGTTATTCTGAAATGTGTAAATTGCAGGGATCATAGCCAAGGCTGAGTCATCATTGGTCATGCAAGAGGGACACAATCCCAGGGGACACACTGTATGACCGCAGAAAACCAGCATTTAGGAACTGAGTAGAAGATTATGCTCGAGGCAGAATAATTTGATTTCATTTTTGTTTTTAACGTAGTTAAGATAATAGGAATCAAAATATGTTAAGATCTAATGGTAGCTGAAGCTGCTTTGCCATTTTGTTTGCTACTTCAGTGATGCAGAAGCCCGGGAGTACTCCTGCAGTTACCAGGAGGTATGGTCAAATATTGTATAAGTACCTAAACTAAAAAAAATAATTTCTAATATCAATAAAAACATATCTGCACATAAGTACAGTCAGCACAGGGGTTACTGTTAAGTGCGAAACATAGTTAGCAAGAGGTCTACACAGTTAGCTAGTAAGGTTTGAAGTAAAGCTTAAAATAATGACCAAACGGTGCAAATGGTAGCTAGAAGTAATAGGTAATAATAAATATTTGAAATGTACATGTATATATGTATTCTAATGAATAAAAGTAATGAAGTGGTTGAAACAGTACACATTAGCTAAGAGTTAATGGTTGAAATATCTAACTGTTACAGATAAGTTAACCAAAAGGTTACAGATTAATGTCTGAAACAGTCAGATAAAAGTTATGGATAGTAGTAGTTCAAATAGTTAACGTTCAACAAGAGTTACTGATAACTGGTTGAAATAGTTACCTGAAATAAAGGATAAATGGTTTAAACATAACTTCTGCCACTAGTAGACCAAACTAATACTTGAATTGGTTTGCATGAAAACATATATTATCCACTTTTATGTATTTAAGGTTAAATAATATCCAAAGAACACATTTGTAACAGAGCTTCGAGTTTATGTGGTTTTTTTTAGGACCAATATACCTTCAAAGATTTCCTGGTATGTTGTTTTCTAGTCTTTGTAGCTGCCATATTCAGTATATATTCCACTGACACGGGCTAGAGGCTGTACAGGCTACGTGGCACAATCCAGGCACCAGGAATCCAAACAAACAGTGGCGTTGGCATGCTGGTCCTAATGCTTCTGCACTTCTACAGCAGCAGCTTCATTAGTGGGCCTGTGTATGAGGCCGACCTCCCCTAATGACTCCTGCCTCCTGCATGCTGTTGGGTACAAACTTTTTTAGGAGTGAGCAAAAGACATTTCAGAAAACATGAAACTATCTTTTTTATTATTAAGGTTTATCGGGTTGGTCATTAAGAATGAAAACAAAATCTCTAATCTGAGTAACCAAACAACAACACCTGTTGTGAATCATTCTCTTCGACTCCTAAAACAGGTGAGTAATCAAAGAAAAAATGGCTGCAGACTGATGTTTAAAGGTTGAAACAAAGTTTGGAAACAATTTTCAAAAAGGCTGGTGCAACTGCTGCTTGGATGTAATTGCACCACTGAAATGAAAAGAGTCACGTTCTTGTCATCCTGGACGATATTGCTCACACATTTATCAATACACTGATGCAACACAGTAGTTATTTCAGAAATAGTTTTTATTCTTTTCAGTCAATTTCTGCAGAGAGACCGAAGCATTGGAATAAAAACAGAAGATTTATCTGACTGATTCCTTTAGTATTCCTAGAGTTGATATGCTTGATATTTACCAATAGATTCTGTTTTACATGGCTTTTTTCTTTTGTGTCTCATCAGGAAAAGCACCACGAACTCCAGGACTGGCTCTTGCTGTACGGTTTCCACTTAAAGTTTTATGAGCGCCACCTCTGTGATAGCCGCAGGCACTTCTTTATAAATCTGCTCTTCTGTAACAGAGGCCTCAAGCTGTGTGGATTTGACAGCTTACAGATTCTAAGTTCACGCCCACTGAGTTGTTTAAATCTCAAATCTCAAAATCAGCTAGCGGGATAGATACAATGTCGCCTCGCATGTTGACCCCAAATTCCAAACCTGTGAGGAAAGAAACCCGGCGTTAAGTGGCACCTTGTTAATGTTCCTCCACTGAGAGCGGTCGTGCTGCTCACCTCTCCTAATTACAGGACCCCTATTGGTTGGATGGATGGCGTTGCAGGAGCCAATCCTGGAGCTCCTACCAGCACGCCGGAGCTGTACGACATACCTTTTTGTTTTTAATGATCAAGTGGGCTCCTTAAAAATGTTTCCCTGCCTGTCCATCCCATACAGGGGAGCAGAGAGGAAGAGGACAGCTGGGACAACTACAGTGCAGCAAGCCCTCCCCCTCACTCAAGAAGTTCAATCCAGAGAGTGCCACTCCTGATCACAGGAGGCCAGAACTTCAACACCTTTGCAGGTAAGTCCTGATGTGAATGTTGCATGTGCTAAAGTTTTCCAGTTCAACTTCCCGCAGGTTCATTGTCTTTGGATGCAATGTGAGAAAATCCTTAGATTAACTCATCTGTATTGAAACTGTAGAAGACAGTCTCTCTCGTTTTGAGCTGTAATTCAACATCCATCTGTGCAGTAACGGAGGAGAACATTTCAAGCTTTCGGTTGTTTGATTGTTCAGTTCAGTCGCTTTATTTGATATTCTGATATTCATAACTAGAATCTTATTTTTCTCAGTAATCCCCGAAAAGTTCTATTACAGCATGTCCCCAATCCTCTCTATTGTCTTGGCATCAGCCATTTAAATAGAAGCTCTGCCTTTGTTCCAGCATTGTCTTCTCATTTCCATATCTGACAGTTTGCTGAACAACTCTCCACCACAAAACAAGACGCAGTCATCAATCCAAGTCTTGTTGCATTGTTATACAGTACAATGCCAGAAGTTCATGCTGTGTTAACCATCCTCAAATACAGTTCTGTTACAACATTATCAGTGAATATTGTTTCTGTTGGTCCTCAGGAAGCAGATAAAACAGAAAATGGCACGTGTTGGACGACCATCGCTTTCCCTGATCCACACAGGATTCCTGTTAGCTATTGTTTTATTACCAGGTGAGGCTTGATTTACAACTATTTTTAAATATCTCTCTTTTTCTGGTCTTTGTCACAACCAATTAGTTTGCAGACAGATGGATAATGTAGTGTTAGCATTCAGGGATGTAGCCATACCACTGAAGATAATGAGATTTTATGGGGAATTTGGAGGATTTAATGACCTGAGGAGGAGTTCACATCCTACAATTACACACAAATTATACTTGGAAGGTTTTTGAATTCTTCCTCTTTACAATAAGTAAAATAAGTATCTTTAAGATGAACTGTTCTCAGCTGAAAATAGAGTAAAATAACAGTGATATGTGTTAAATTTAGTGTTTCTCCACAATAATATGTGTGAAACACCATTTAGACCTGTGGCTCCCAACTTCTCTGACTTACGGCTCCTTATGTGTTTCCTTCTTGTTTCAATTGAAGGATTTTCAGAAGCTTGACGAGATGAAAGTACCAAATATTTAACAAAAAACTGAAAAAAAGATGGAAAATTGAAAAAAACAAACTCATATCTTTACTTTCTTTTTAATCCTGTTAGTCAAATTCCTTCTTCTATTTGTATAGTAAATTATGGAATAAAACTCCAATTACTTAAAATCAACAATATCCTTTTACCTTAATAGTAGAAGATGGTCTTCTAAATTCTGGAAACAACAGTTTTGTACTGTACTTCATTGGGAAAGTGTACTTTTTACTCCACAACATTTATCTTATATAGCTACTAGTTCTGCTGTGATACCTGTTGTACATTTGGTTGCTATGTGTTTTTACTTAAGTAGGATTTTGAATACAGGACTTGTATTTCTCATGTAGTATTTTTACACTACTGTACTGCTACTATAAGTAAAAGATCTGAGTACTTCTTTCTTCCCTGTTTTTGGGTCGAAAACGTATTGGGAGAGTATTTCCTGGGGAATATGCACATTAATCTATGGTACAGAATTATAGAGGCACCATTACCCTTCTCTCTTTACCAGTAAAATATCACGACATGTTGATGTGCAAGGCAGCCTGTTAGTGAAATCTTTCCAGAGTCATAAAAAGACATCCATCCCTGCTCCTCTGGGAGATTTTCCACGTTAATAAATGAGAAGCACTGGAAGTTTCTGCCATAATCAGCTGACTTGGCTGTTTGCTCGTAGTCGTAAACTTCTGAAGAAAACCCCTGGTGGAGCAGAAGACAGTCCGTGTGTGGAAACAGGGATGTACACAGACATGTCCCCTCCCTCCCACCTTCCACTTTTACAGTGTATTGGTAATTGGTTTGTTTGAGGGCCCACTCTTTTGTAGTTTTACAGGTTAAGGAAGCCCCCAGTAGTTGCACAAACTCCACGGGTCTGATTCAAAGCCTAAATGAGCACACATGGGGCTGGGTGGGGGTCTTAAGGAGGAGGGAGGGGTGTTTAATCTGCAGGATGCTGCCTGTGCCGGGGCGCCAGAGCCCCAGCACCTGCCGTGTTTCACCCAGGGGCTTGTTAGCAGGGCAGCGTTTTCCCTGTTGAGGGAAAGCTCAACATCTGGTCCTCGTCAGCTAATGTCCCCGCTGCTTCTAATGTGGCTGCTGCTTGTGTTTTACAGAGTTTCTGGGGGCCGTTCCAGTGGAGCAGCACAAGGAGGAGGAAGGTGAGGACCTGAGGACGTGGCATGTGTTGATGTTTTTAGTCCCTGAGGTCAAAAATAAACTGAGGAAATGGAGTTTAAAAACTTAAATTACAGACATTTGTAAGGGATCATTCAACTATTCTTTAGTATTCTGAAGTATGTTTTAGTGGGGCACTGACTTATGCTGGGCTGGCATGAAGTATGTGTTTAGTTCAAAGACTGTTTAGTATCCCAGAATGTAGAAATATTCAAATACACCAGGCGGAAATAACACATATATACCACATGCAAGGAACTGCAGGGATTTGCCTAAAACTGTATGGGATTAGCCTAAAGTGGACACGTCTGTAAAGCGGAGACTTGTGGGTATACTAAATAATTTTACATGATTGAATAAAAACATTAGATCCAGACAACGTTATGTCTAAAATACATGTAATGCAATACATAAATAAAAGTCTGTCTGATCCCATACAAATATATACCTTCAAATAAAAACAAATCTATTCAGTCTCACTACATCATTTAATTTAGTTCACTTTGTTCCTCCCCTCAGTGCCCGCAATGTCTGATGATGTGAAAGCCGAGGCCATGGTGAGCCTGAGGAAGCTGGTTCGCAACAGAAGGAACGTCCCTGTCTACGCGGTGCCACAGTTTAAACGCCTGCCGGACTTCTGGGGATGGTACAAGTACTTCATGGACAGCCACAACCAGGAAGGAGTGAGTGGAGTTTGTTTTACATTCATTATTCAGTTTCTCCTTGTCGGGATTACGAAACAGAGCTTTTTTGAATTCGAATTTATATGCCAAAAAAAGTTTGATTTAAACAGCTTTTTGATGTAGTTTTAAAAGATTCCTTATTTTTTTCTCCACAGCAATAAATTCTTTATTGCTCAGACCAAGATTATATAATTGTATTAATATTATATTACTCTCTAAATATACTAAGTAACCCTTCAGTGCAGGTCATGTTCCAGTAAGAGGAACTGTGGTTTAAGAATCAGGCTGTGTGGTTTGAGTAACAAGACAGTGAGCTGAAAAAGTACAAGCATTTCTCCTCAGAGGATTTGTGTGAAACTGTTCATCTATCACGGGCTTCATTTAAGCTCTTGCAGTTTTATTCTTAGTTTCTCTTTGTAAAGCATATGGATTCAGAGGAGGCTTATTCATTTTTGTCCCCTCTCCACCGTGTATTTCAGGTTGAGGATCTGGATCGTCTGTACATGGCCTACCTGCAGAACAAGCACAGGTCAGAGGAGGGCCCAAACTTCAACCACTACCTCAAGCACCTCAGTGAAATCTACAAGACTTGTGCCAATTCTGACGATCCAGAGTGCATCCACGAGTCCACCAGCAAGCCAAAAGCTGCACTGGTGATGCCAGAACCCATCAAGTCTGCTGCTGTCAGGATGTGCAACCCTTACCTCGACCCCTACTGTCTCTTCCCCCTCCTCCCCAAGGCTGCTGCCCCAGAGCCAGCTCCAGCTCCAGTCAAGGTGCCATCCCCTATCCTCACCCCCTTCCTACCCATGCCCCTGAAGAGCCCCACTGGCTTCTACTACTACGCCCCAGTCCTGGAGCCCTTCCTGACTGCTGAGCAGAGGACTGAGTTGCTGAGGATCTGCAACTCTGAAGATGTGGACTGTCTGCAGTATCACCTGAGAGCAGCTTATGGCTACCGCCCAGCCCCTGGCCCAGCTCCATCCTATGCCGCCCTCAAATGTGACCCCAAGGACCCCTACTGCATGCCCCCACTGGTCCACAAAGCCCCCACCGGCTTCTACCACCTGCTCTACCCCAGCTGTGACCCAGCAGTCGATCCTCTGTGTGTGACCAACGTTGCTGCTCCTGCTCCCCTCGCTGGAGAGGAGGCCCCAAAAGAGCAACAATGCAACCCTCTCTTTGACGCCGGCTGCAACCCCCTGACTGCCACCAAGCTGTCCAGCCTCACCAAGCCCGTGCTGGAGTACACCCCCAGGGACGAGCCTGCACCTCCTGCTGCTCCTCTGGCCTGCGATCCTCGCTATGACCCATACTGCATACTGGCAGCCGCTGCTGCCCTGCGCAAGCCCGCTCCGCAGATCCCCGAACACCAGGTCTGAATTTGAAGTCCTGCTACTGGGATATAATTCAGTGTTTTGACTAATCTCTTGTAATCTTGCTTGTTGATCTTCTATGTCTTTTCATTTGGTTTATTAAATGATGTAGTGAAATGAAATGGGTGTTGCATAATGCTTTCACTTGCTGTCTTCGATCTGCTTTGCATCTGTTTTGAACAAAAACACAAATCAATCAATCAACCAGGTCCGCTACAAGCTCGGTGTCCACGGAAAGACCAAGGAGGGCTACGACTGCTATGTGCACTATGACAAAGACTGCATCCCGGTGAAGTCTGGCCCTGAGGCCAAGGCCGACATCAAGGCTCCAGCCAAGCCCGCCTGCCATCCATTCGACCCCAGCTGTGGCAAGTTTGCTTCACCCTCCAGCGTTGAGGCCCCGAAACCTGGCAAGGATGGCATAATCCTGCCCGACCCCGACTGCGACCCTGAGTTTGACTACAACTGCCGCCTGCGACGTGCTGAGCCTGCTGCCGCTGCAGCTGACGAACCTGCCACCGCTGCTGCTGAGGAGAAAGCTGCTGATGAGCCCGCCATGGAGGCTGCCCCCCCGCGCTTTGAAGACTTCCTCAGGGGCTTCATGGGCCAGTATAAGTAGATTTCATAAAAAAAACACCTGCTAGATAATCCACCTTGCAGGAATGGAGCTCAATCTGTAGTCCCTAATCTCTGTGGACTTCATGGACAACAAACTTCCACAATATCATCAAGAACATTATACAAAAACTTTAAAACCAAACAGAAAATATTGTAGCTTTTACAGTCCATCTGGTTTTCCCAGAGAATCGGAAGGTCTGTTTTTATATTCAACAGTGAAATTTGTGGATTAAACACTTCATGTATGTATGTTTGTAGAAAAGCGTTGTATGTATAGATGTGTGATAGATTAGGGGTAGTTTGAATTTGTGTCAGCGGGCAAGAATCTCTCTCTGTTGTACATTCTCAGTTTCCATTTGCGTTACCCAAAATGTATTTAATGTTGTTTTTCACTTTTTTTTCTGTAACTCTAAACCTCCTAATGCTTCACCTGTTTAGTTTTGATAAAGTTCTAAATAAAGAACATTAAAAAAAACTGGAATTTTCTTTCTTGAGGTTAAATCTGCAAGTATAAAACCACATAATGATAGTAGTTAGAGGAAGCTGGCTAAATGCACATAGCCTTTTCAGCCTGTCAGTCCCCAGCTGTTGCAACTAACAATGTGCCAGCTGGCATGTCTTCACCAGTTTATGCTCCGTTGTTATGAAAATAGCTTATTGTTTCTACATCTGTACATTTTATAGCTACACATAATCAACAAAAATATGTGTTTTGCATGATAGTACATCACACTGCAATAATTAAAGTTTTTGAAGCAAAGAATTATAAGTTAATACTTTATTGTGAGTGTACACAAGGCGACTGAAATGTGTCATTACACATATAACACCTACAGTCCCTCACATATATGTATTTCATCAGAGAGGTCAGATCTAAAAATAGGGAGCTGAGGCTGAAGTTATGAATAACTTTGAGCTTTAATATAATTTAAACAGGTCAGTTATATAAAAGTTCACCCCCTCCATGCACTTTAGCTATAAAGACCACAAACGTTCTTTTGCTCCAAACTGTAAACATGTTTATTTCTGCTGTTGATTTTAATACTGGGCCTTGTAGAGCCTGATTCACTACTGTAGCCAGCCTCAAGAGGCCGTTCAAGGAACTGCAGTTTTTGTTACTTCAACCACAGAGGTTGCCACTTGATGAAAAATGATTTTTTCTCGAATCTCTCCTAACTGTAAAACAAATAAAATCTGTTGAGCTGCCTCTTGTTGCATAGTTGTGATTGTCTCTGAAACAACTAAAGTTCAGTCAGACAACTCACGTTTGAAATGTTTATTCTAGCAGTATACCATTTTGGAGTCTAGGCTCTGACTCATGTGTTTACAGAGAGACATTGTGGAGCGATGAGGATGTTTGGGTGGTGGTGCTGCGTACAGAACAACAGGCAGCAATACTGAGGCAGCTGCAGTGGCATTGACAGAGCAGAGGGAGAGCTCGGACATTTTTGCCGTTTAAATAGGCCGCCAAATTAGACTGGTGTGCTTGGTTTGTGATGAGGTTTGTCTTGTGTACAGCAGTACGGCTCGAGTTGACTGACTAAACTAGCTCGCAGGCGTCGCTCCATTAGTTGGACAAATATTTTTGGATCTCATAATGAAATATTACATGGGTTGGTAGGGTTATTACCGTAAAGGTGTAAAGTGGGATTCCGTAACAAGAGCTCACTCGAGCAACACGATGTCCTGAACAGTGCTGCCCCCTCCGACCCCGACCTACGCCGTACCACAAAGACACAAAGACACTTGCTTTGGTTAGTTGTGAGGATGTATTGATTCATATTGAATTCCTGGAAGAAACTAAAGTGTCTGGAAACCAAAGTGTTATCCGTAGAATAATCTGGTAATTCAAATTTAAGTCCTTAGATGGGAGGGGAGTTCCTTCAGTGTGTCTGTGTGAACGGGTATATGTCCCCATGATACAGTCTCAAACACACTCATGCACAAAATTAGAGAGGTTGATGTTTCGGAGGATTAATATTTGCATGTCACACATCAGTATAACAACAGATACAAGTGCTATACTATGTTCCTGTAAGTACCGAATCTTAGTTTACCAGCTGATTTGAACAAAAATGGAACCACAGATTCAGTCTTTGGCTGATGAATATTTTTACAATGTGAACCACTTCAAGAAACACTGAATGATGATTTTCTCTCCTGAAGCTGAAACTTTATATTTTAGAAATGAACTGCAGCCGTGGGCTACAAGAACTGCAGTCTGCTTTTCAGTAACTAACCTCTCAGCAGCTCCAGCGCACAGCAGTCGCCTCAAGGAGACAAACACCGCTGCTGCTGCTGCTGCTGCTGCTGCTGACAGTTTTAAAGGCAGATAACACACAGCCGAGCCCAGTAATGACTACCTGAACACAACATGCACTCAAGAAAGCCCCATGCAGGTATGTTCCTAATTGTAGCTGTTGTCCTGTAAAGTTTGGACTTGTGCTGAGTTCTCCTGTCATACTGGAATTAAAACTGTCAAAAGACAAAAGTTTAATTCAAGTTCAGTCGGGATGAAAAGCTGTTCTGTGCTTTTTACACTGACGGTGATGTGCTGTGACATTTAGTGTCAGAATTGAGCACAAGAGGCTTTTATCATTTTGTTTTTGTGAGTCCTTCACTTAATAAAATATCAGTATTATTCATATTAGGTCTTTTAACCCCATCAGTCCCAGCAGACCACCAGCAATCAAACTGTTTAAAGCAACATTATGGAAGAATTGGCCTTTTTATTTATTTATTTGGTGCTTCTACAGAGTTCAATTCACTTACAGTAAACACTGCTGTTGTAAATACACATGACTGTACAGTACACATGCATTTGTTATGATCACCGACATATAAAAGATTGACGTTATGTCTCCTCCTCGTCCCACTGTACTGAAATTATGCATGGGTTAGTCTTTGGCTCAGCTGTCAATCATGATGTGAAACCCCCTTTTTATAGCTTCAAATAACTAAACCAAGAATACTGAACACTTGAACTTACATACGTGTTATAAAAACTACCTAAAATGACAGAAACCATCTTTGCGAAAAATTCTTTGACTTACATCTGTTAACATGAGTTGGCCACCAGGGGGCGATCAAAATGTTTTGGCTTCACATTTGGGAAGCTGTCGAGCTCTTCCTCCATCTTTTATTTGTTGATAGTTATGATTATATTTGGTGGCGGTAATGCACCAAGAAGCTGGACGATGGAGAAGAAGAATTATATTTACAACTTTGCTTACGCAGCCAAAAATCAAGAAAGTGCAACGAAACAAGACAAAGCAAGCCAGCTAATATATTCAGACTAGTCCAACAGCAAGAAGGCTCGGTGTCTGTCTGCAGCCTTTAATTTATTTATCTATTTATTTTAACGACTAAAATCCAGTCTGAGATTTACTCTTGTCTCTTTTATTCTCTTCTTAGCTTCCTCAGTCAACATCCTCTTCGGTGCCTTTGCCATTAGGCTGCTGAGCCCGGTCACATCGCCCGCTCACCCAGCTCCGGTTCTCGCCATCATATATATCTTGAATGCAACTTATCACATTAAAAAGATCCTCATTTTCAAATAATCCTGAAAAAAAGTGCCACAAATCATATTTGAAGCTGATAAGAAACTTGGAAAATGAAAAACACACAGTATTTGCTGTGGGACTGAAAATCCTATTTATCCCGAAGCAAATAATATAAAATCTTTAAAGGAAACTTTCTAATCAAGTCAAAGGTTTTTTTTTTTTTATCTGCTTCTCTGCCTCGATCCAATAAATGTATTTCTTGAAAATGTCTTTAACCAAGTAAAAACATCCACTGGAAACAAGATAAAGTTCATCACTGCAGAGATGTTTCCAGATTTTTCATTTGGATTTCCTGCTCTCTGATACAAGTATATACAAATATAATTTTTTGGAATCCAAACTATACAGAACAATTGATCACAGATGAAAGTTTGATATCTTTAGGTGAGATATGTAAAAGCTGCATAAAGTGTTGTTGTTCAAAACTGAATTTCATCAAAGGTTGTCTCTGGGGAGCAGAGATCAAACAGTGTGCAGAGGAGAAAAAGAAAATGTTTGGAATCAATTTCATGCCTCCGTGAAGAATAATTGCTGTGGATTTTAAACATTATGATATTAAGATAAGCGCCTTTTCAGCTTGTCACAGCGGAACGCTTTTAGTCTACTGGTTTATCACACACGCCCGTTTTGTGTTAATTACTAAATAACTGATGAATTTATCTGCTGTGAAAAACCTTTTTCCTCCTGCTCCTGTCTGAGATTGTACTTCACAGACAGACAGACAGACAGACAGACAGACGGACAGATAGATAGACAGACAGATAGATAAAGTAAATAAAGTAAATAAAGTGTAAGGATTTGATGTTAATAGTCACATGATAATAAGTAGGCTACTGTTAGCAACTTAATTACGGCAGTAGTAATTAGATTAGTTGATCCACAGAAGATTTATTGGCTGCCATCTTGATTATTAATGTAAACAGTTTTTATTGGATGTTTTCACAGATAATATAATAATTTGGAGCCGGAGTCTGCGCAGTATTGATTGGTGGTTTCCTACCCAAAGAGCTTCAAAAAAACGTATTAAAACTGAACATTGACACTTGAACATACATCAGCGTGATAAAAACAACCTTAAATGCCAGAAACAATCTTTGTGAAAAATGTATTTGGTGTGTACTTTTATATTTTTGTTTGGCCCATCTGTTAACATGGAGGCAGCAGGTTTTATGACCTATACTGCCGTCAGCCACCAGGGGGCGATAACGATGTTCTGACTTCACTTTTGGAGAGCTGCCATGTCGTCCCTCTTTATATATGTAGATGATTTAAGTTAGTATTTCTTTACTCAGATAAATTCTGTAAACACATTTTAAAAAGGTTTGAAAAAATGCTGCATATGAGCGTAATGTAACTTAATTACTGAAGAACCAAACTTGAACGATGAATGCTTAAGTTACTTGTGTGAAATTGTACATTTGTACATTTAAATGATTTAAAGCAAGCTTTTACAGTGATAGATAGATAGATAGATAGATAGATAGATGGTCCGTGTATGTTTTGGTCATTGGATTTTCCTTTCAGAAACGGGTATTAAAAAAATAGAAAACGAGTGGTTATTTGATTTTCGTTTTAAAATACAAAAATTCAAATTGAAATACAAGGCGTTTTTCTTTTTCATGGTCAAAAAGGGATGAGCGAAATTTTAAAAATTATTCGATTTTCATTTTCTATTTCATAACAAAAAATAAAATCACTAGAAAACAGAAACGGAAAAAAAGCCTGTTTTTTCATATTCTGAGACCGGATGTTGTCATTTACAGGACCGTGCTGTGGAGAAGAAACAGTAGGCTAGTAGACTGCGATCAATCCAGCCGTGAGTCCGATCTCCGTGGTCAAATCAGCCGCACTTAAATTTAGAGTGTACAAGTATTCTCAGCATTATGGTAAATGCGGAGAAATAGCGTATTTACTTCCGGTTTTCAAAATAAAAGGTATTTAGAGCCGTAAGCTATAATTACAATATGTTACATTAAAGTGTTTCATGCGCCCCTGATGAATAAAAAAAAAACTTTATATCAAGTATCTTTACTGCACCAGTGTGGAGAAATGCCAAAATAAAAGTCTCATATTTATGCCTCCAGAGATTGCATATTTGACCCTATTTGAGGTACTGTAAAAACATATTGCTCAGTGTTTCCTGGCTACCGATGGTATATTTGACTTTCACACATATGAGACTA